TGTCACAAACGCCGTGTGTTGCACAGAGACCTTAAACCTCAGAACCTGCTCATCAATGATAATGGTGTGATAAAACTTGCAGATTTTGGTCTAGCTCGTGCATTTGGTATACCTGTTAGAGTTTATACCCATGAGGTAATTTTTTTAAATTTTTATTTTAACTAAAGAGATTTGCAACTTTCCAGCTAAGAAAAACATCTTAAAGGGGTAGGAAATTTCTTTTGCAAGATTTTTAAAAACCTCCCCCTTCCCAAACCTTTTTTTTTTCTTTCAGCATTAATCAATTTGTTCAGGAAGAATTAAATTCATTTTTTTTTATAGTTTAACCATTTCAGAGTAAATATATTACTGTTAGATTATGAGCGTAGCCAGGGGGGAGTGAATTTTTGTGACAGTTTTTTGCTTTAATTTAAATTTTATTTATTTGTGAGATTTGAATGTTAAAACATCACTTGCCCCAGTGCAGCCAAGGGGAGTTTAAAATCCCCCTCCAGGTTAAAACTTCCTCTTCTCTAAAACAAAAGTAATGGAAACAACAGTCACCAAAGTCCATGAGCGTAGCCAAGAAGGGTTACAAATTTCTACCAGTCGCTGGGCTCCATTAATAAAATGCAGGTTTTGGAACTAAAATTTTTTTTTTGGATAATGCACTGTAGATAGTGAAGTCATCATTGATAACATACTTTTGTGGAAAGACCACCTTGAAACTCTTGACAAAGAAAACAGCCCAGCGGCTATTTTTTCTATACAAACTCAATAGCTTTAAACTAAATAAGAAGATCTTAGATAATTTTTACTGCAAGACTATGCAAAATCTGCTAACATATGGCATAACTTGTTGGCAGGGTGGCGCTTCATCTAGACCAGGGGTGGGCAAATTAAGGTCCGCTGGCCACATGCGGCCCGCTGAAGTGTTTTATGCGGCCCGCCGACGCTTAAAGAAATCAGGTGTTCCCACGCATTACACATATAAAAATGCAAATATATTTATATAAATAATTGTAAATATCTATAGATCTAGAAATAATTGAAACTTCTGATTCTTATCATGAAGAGGCTAAAGAAACATTGTCTTTAAAAGTCATTCTAAAAAGTTTAAAGAAAACAAAGATTATTTTAATGTCAATATTTCGAAACATTCAGTCAAAGACAAACACAAGCCAGTATTTATTCAATTCTATCAAAAACTGAGTTTAAAGTGTTGGGTCTGCTTGTACAAGATGGCTAGTGTAACAACTAATGGAGCTCGTGCTTTGACTAAGAAAAACAGGCTTTTTAATAAAATAAAGCATTGAATATCAAATATATTGTTGAAATTGATTTCTCAATGATCTTATTATTGGCACAGGGCCAGCCTTAGGCATACACAAAGTGCTTAGGGTCACCAATTGGTGAGGGCCTTGCACTGACTTCCTTCTTATTATTTTAGAGAAGAAATAGCGAAACTTGTCCTCAATGTTATTGTTGAAGTACAGTAGGTTTTTAATAAATTTAATAATTTTACTGTTGTCGCTATTTTATTTTATTTGAGGCCACCAAATTCACTTTGCCAAGGGCCTCCAATTATCTGCCGGCCATGACTGGCAGTTTTGAGAAGTACTTAAAGATTTGGAAACAAAACATTCCGATGTTCGCTAACACAGTAGTATCCGCTGGCCTAGAAGAATATGGAGTCTTAAGGAAGAAATAGTTAGGTTCATTGAAGGAGATTGATTGTGACTCTGTTACTAATATATCTAATGAAGAGTTGAAGAGAGACTTCATGTTTATCATTGGAGACATTGCAATGTTTTGTTTGCAAATGAAATGTATGTGCATCTTAAATCTTTTCAAACAAAGTTATTCCACTTCTTGAGGCAGCGAGTGAAATCGGGTCTTATCATTTTCCTTAGCTGTATTCCCATACTTAAAAAGCTGTCACGCAGACCTGCCTACTGTTACGCAAAATGCATTTTCGTTACGCAAAATCTCCCAAAAATGACCGTCAGTACGCAAATACGCATTTAACCCGTCGTCGCGTTACACATTTCGTATCCTTTCCCCCCCCCCCCCCCCCCCCCCACCTTCTCTTGACTAGCTTACGAGCGGTCACGGAGGTCACGCTAAGCCGTCCTGTTGGGGGGGGGGGAACAGAAAAGGTGGGTGTGTCCAGATCTATCCGTTGATTGATTTTTAAAAGCAATTAGAATTAGTCTAGAAATGAAGAACGCGGGAGTGAGGGAGTGGCGGGTTGATACCAGGTTGGTACCGTCAGTTAGCTGATACACCAACGTGACTTTTTTTTTGTAAGCTCATTAGTAGAAATTAATTATGTTGAATCCCTGATTCCCGTATTCATTTGTATAGAAAAAAAATATCGAAGTGATATCGATTCAAAACACATTGAGTGACATTGTAGATATCGAGTCTATATCTAGATTCTAGATCTAGATAACTTGTTATACAGGAATAGATCGAGGTAGAGTCTAGCTAGTCATTACGTTATGTCATGATTCTCTACTTTACTCTACAATCTAGATCCAGTTTAGTTGTTATATGATTTAGATTGACTAGGTCTAGATCGATAGCATCTAGTCTAGATCTAGACTAGATTCTTAGTCTTAGTATAGAATAGATCAAGGATGAAGGTAGGCCTACGAAAGTTTGGAGTAGACCTATGTTTGTAGCGGATCCACGGCATCGGTTACATTCTTGAGCCCAGATCTAGAGTAGATATTCATTATATAGACATACATCCAGATCTAGTCTAGATATCATCTCTATTGTCGTATTGATCTAGATTTAGATTGTAGATCTAATCATGACATCTAGATCTAATATTATATATATATATATGACAAAATAGTGGATCGCGTAAGTGTTACGCATTCTGGTGCCTAAATACGCCGCATTTTGACCATCAGCGTTACGCATTTGGACTTTTTTTGGTAGGCAGGTCTGCTGTCACGTTATTCGGAACCTATTTCATCTGTGAACACGCTTTATTTCGTTTGTTTGAAAATTATGTAGTTAGAACAGGTCGATGCTCACTGACTGTAATTTGACAGCAGTTGCAAGAACAAAACAACTAGTAAGCTAGTTCTACAGTTACAGAACATTATGCAGGGATGTAAACAGTTAAATGCTTCACATTAAGTACAATTGTACATTTGTGGTGAAATGTTGTGTAAAAAGACAACAAAATTTAAAAAATCATTAGTAAAATTAGTTAACGAAATTACTAACTTGTTGTAATTCCTCAATTGGGAGTAAAAAAAAATTAATAATTTATGCAGCCCGCCAGTCCCCAAATTTTTTTTAATGTGGCCATTGGTAGAAAAAGGTTGCCCACCCCTGATCTAGACTGTTGCGCCACTTATCATTGTTAAAAAAGCATCTAAAATCACACTTACAACACTAGCATATTTAAATGAACTTTTTGAACAAAAATGTCTCAGAAAAATTGGAAAAATCTTGGAAGACAACAGCCACCTGCTCCATCATAACTACGTCAAGTCATCGCGATGTTGGCAATTTCTATCTATCAAGACTAGAACTGAACGATACAAAAACTCGTTCGTTCCTTACTCTGTGGAAACATGAATGTGTGTAGTCACTCAATTAACTATTTATGTTGTGTCTGTTCTATTTATGTGAATTTTTCTGTTGTTTTAAGAGTCCATGTAATCACAACAAATTTCCATAAGGATCAATAATCAGTCCTAGTCTTAGATACCTCAGAATATGCATTTTTTAATGTTTTAAATATGAGAAATAGTGCTCTCAGAGCGATCCCCCAAACCCTCTGGCTGGCAAGGGAGGGGTGTCTACACTGTGTACAGTCTTTCCACTAATTCCAGGAAGAACCTATTCTAGGATACAATAAACATCTTCTGAAAGAATGAAGGTCTGAATATGATAAAGATTAATTATGTGCACGCCTACACACACACATATATATACAAATATGGTAGCCATTTCTCTGCACATGATGACATGAAGCAGTTTTAAAGACATTGAATTTTACTATATTTTTTACAATTATAACAATTTTGTCCTGCTGATTTAAAAACAAAAAAAAATTATTTGTCAAAGGTTGTTACCTTGTGGTACAGAGCTCCTGAAATTCTGCTGGGATCCCCTCGCTATTCAGTACCAGCTGATATCTGGAGCATTGGTTGTATTTTTGCTGAAATGGTTACTAGGCGCCCATTATTTCATGGTGACTCTGAAATTGACCAGCTTTTCCGTATTTTTAGGCAAGTATGGAACACTATACCAGTCAGATCTCTGCATAATTTATCTAAATGTATATGGTAATTAAAATATAGTTAATTAAAATAGTTAATCTGATTTTTAACTGTTAATTTGTAATTTTGCAGAACTTTAACAACACCAACAGAAGAAATTTGGCCTGGGGTGTCTCAGCTGCCTGACTTTAAACCATCATTCCCACATTGGAAAACAAATCAACTAGCAAACAGTGTTAAGCAGCTTGATAGACTTGGATTGGAACTTTTACAAGTAAGTGTTAAAAGAAAAAACTCAACAACAAAATGGGGAATGAGATAATACAGAGAAGTGACCTAATTAGCGCTGTCTTTAATGTTCATTCAACTGTTTCCTAATTTAAGTGTTATTCTTTATTTTAAGAATATCAAAGCCATAAGTGTGAATGCAGACTTAGTCTCTTACTTGGTGTATTTCAGGAGATGTTGATTTATGATCCCCCTCAAAGGATACCTGCTAAGGCTATTTTGGAACACCCTTATTTTGCTGATTTAGACAAGACTACACTTCCTGCCAGAAATTTTACACCCATGGAATTAATGTATGATTAACACCTGCAGTTCGGTCTACGCTGATTGTGATTAAACATATTTTTTATGTCATTTTGTTGTTACCTGAATCATTGCATACTCTAAAAAAAGACTGTCTTTACCTGCATACTTGTACCTATTCTGTCTATACTTTCAACATGATTGTCATTAAAGCTTGTAAATAATGCAAATGGTTTTTTAAATGATCTGATTTTTTTTATATGACATGTATATTTTGTTCTGAACACTGGCTATATTGTATGAGAATGATAATGAAATATGACTTGAATTGTAATGGAATGGTGAAGAGTTGTGTACATATAATATGGGGTTGGCACTATTGGACAATATAACAATATCTCTCACTGGTAAGAAATGCTTGAGTGTTGAACAGATTGACTGTAAACCTCAAATTGGTGTTAGAAATTATGAGTGCAGTTTGATATGGTGTAATAAAAATCTTGCTAAATTAATGTTTGTTTTATTTCTAATATTTTTATTAAGTGCATTGTGAGAACTGCACTAAATCAAGTTTTAGTGCTGCAATTAAGGCGACAAAAGTTGTGGGACAATTTTGTGATAAAGCTTGTGGTGGTGACAATTAAACATGAACTAGTATTTGTAAGCTTTAGCTTCTACAAATCTAATTATTTGCTTGAAATTGAATTTTCATGCAGATCTTAAGGAATTGTGAACATGCAAAAGTAAAAAGTTATAATTTAAATTAGTTTTAAGCCAAAGTTGAGTTTGATGGATGTTATGTAGAGTTGTGGACAATAACGTTATTACCCACTACACAATCCTGTATGAACTGTGAATTTTATTATTCCTTATTAATAGCCCCCGTTCTAATCCTATTTATTTTTCTTAAAATCAGGTTAATTCTTTAATTTTGTTTCAATGCTTTATCTCACACAAAAGTAATGTAGAAATAATATTGATATTAAGGCAAATAAAACAAGTCAAAATGTTCATTTTATTTTATAAACCACTACATTCAACAACTGGTAAAATATAAAACACCATGACCAATTTTCTAGTCCAAATAAAATAACACTTGGTTATTAAATTTATTATTGATGTTTGAAGAGTAACAAACTAACATATTAAAATTGTTTGCTACACTCTCCCTAGTGATATTGTCACACCAAGTAAACCTCACTAGGGTAACATAAAGGAAAAATATACACTCAAAAATAAAACAATTTATCCTCATGTTTATATTATAAAAATTTGTATAGAATCAATCTTTCAATAACAAAATTATACTTAACAAAATTTGTTTAAAAAAAAAATGAGATGAAAAATCTAGTCTTTAGATTTGTTTCACAACTCTGAGGTGACAAAGAAATAGACGTACCGGTAATTTAATGGTTAAATTTGTTTTTATTTTTTAAAAATCGTTTTTATTTTTTTTAAATCATTGTTTTGATAAATTTAGCATGAAATGCACACTAACAGACATCCTGCTTATATTAGCTCTTGAAGGTCCCTGGCATTCCATAAATATAGACGAAAGAAATATGCTTACTCAAGATGTTATCAAGAAACAGACCAATCTAAGCATATTCTAAATTAAATGTAATAAATCTAAATATAATAATGTCAGTCATTAAGTGTATAATGTCTTTCATTTGTTCAAATTTTAAAAAACTACCAGTAAATAAATTAAATATATACACTATATACAGATCTAATTATCTGGAACTAGTTCTATGGCTGTATGCTAGGACTTTGCAAACATTTTCATAAATACAGAAATTGAGTCCAGCCACAAACCCTGCTTTCAACAAACTTGGACATAAACCTTTGTACAAGCATAAGACTCCTTCCTGTCTCACTGAACTAGCTAGACAATGAAAAAGTCCTTTGTACTGGTGTACTGCACCAAATGGCCTTCGAGCTTTCTCAAAACCTTGAACCTGTAACCTTTTCTTAATAACATCTAGTGGGTAAACAATAAGTTTAGCAAGTGCACCTGATCCTGAACCACACACTAGAGCTTCCAAGGACTCTAGAAGAAAAAAAAAAGATGTCTCGATGAACAATTGACATCATAATAACAATATACATATAAATGTTAAAGGTAAAGTAATTATTATAATGCAAACAGAATGTTAAAGGTAACATAAAATACAATAAAGTATTAAAGATAAAGTGGCTAAAAAATTGTTAACTGTGTTTTCTATGGTATAATTTGATTTGAGTATTGCACTATTTATTATTCAATGTAACTGTTTCTCATCTTAATTCCCCATAGGCGTAGCCAGGATATTTTGGGGGAAAAGGGGGGGGGGGGGGGAATTCACACCATTTATACCAGGGGTGGGCAACCTTTTTGGATCGAGGGCCGCATTTCTTTAAATTTGGGAATTGGGACCGCATCTGTATATATACAACTTAGAAAGATACTCTTAGCTAACTTGTAATTCATAGCTACACAGTATTATATTCACCTTTCTTTTTTTCCACACTCCACATTAAGGAATTACAAGAAGAGTTAGCAAATTTTGAATCAATTAATAATTTTTTTTTAATTGCTGTTGTCTTTTTGTATTACAATAACCCCACTAATGTACAGTTGTACTTAATGTGCATTATTTTACTTTTTACACTCGTGCATAATGTTCCGGAACTGTGGAACTAGCTTACTTGTTACCCTTGTGACTGCTGTCAAATTACTGTCAGTCAAAATCGACCAATAATTATACTTGTTTAGTTTCCCCCCACCCAGAATATAATGCTTGTTCACTGGATGAGACAATATATGTTCCGGAAGTTAAATGTCGGGACGAGCAAAATTTGCCCTTGTGGAGCATCACCAGAGAATGCTGACATGTCCTTCAATGGTGCATACTAAATCAAAGACCCGAACAGGACTCTGGCCTCAAAGCCCTCCTATAGAACCAAAACTATTTGGAGAACTACCTGATCTGGAAAACATTGCGCGGTTCATCTTAGATATAGGATTACTGATCTGAACCCTCCAACATGTAAAATGAGAACAGAGAAGAAGACATACAGATTCTGGCACCCATAAGACTCATGTGGAAGTACTGACTGGAAATTCTCTTTGCTCGGATTATGTCCTCTGGAGCTAAATCAGCTTCTGTGCTAAATGGTGAGCTAATGGTATAGAAAACCGGTTCTTGACGTCTTAAAATTTGCTTTTATAAATTGCAAAATTAAGGAATCTAAATAAGTGTTGTACTTTTAATCATTTCACTAGAAATAATTTCACCTCTCAGCAAAGGAAAATGACAAAACCTGTTTTCTTTCGCTTGCTTGTGAATATGGGAAGGCCTTGTTTGAAAAGATTTAACATCCATTACATTTCATATGCAAAAAACTCATTGCAATGGTAATTGTGAAACATGAAATCTGTCTTCCACTCTTCATTAGAAATGGTATCAAAGTCACAGTCAATGTCCTTCAAGTAACATAACGATTTCTTCCTTGAGATTTTATATTGTTCTCGTTTATCTTGCCCATGCTATGAAAGAGGAAATATTGGATTTTTTTTTATTCATAATCGAAACTACCTGTGGTTAATACACCCTAGCTCTAAAAAGTTTGATTACTATGTATATTGTGCTATTATGAAGTTGAAATTTTATGTAGCTTTGTGCAAATTTTCCTGTTTAAAGTTTTTGGTTGGGGTATTAAAAAAACCCCACTATTTACTCAGTCAAAGATCGAGCTCCACCAGTTGTCACCCTTGCCATCTTGTTCCAAGCATACCCAACATTCAACACAGTTCTTCATAGCATTGAATAAATACTGATCAGAGATTATGTCTTGAATTGAGTGTATTGATGTATAGCCAATAAGCATAGTCTTCGTTTGCTTGAAACTTTTTATAATGACAGTTTCAATAATGTATATTATTTTTAATATATTTGCATTTTTATAAGTATATACTGTAGGCCCGCGGGCCGTAATTTGCCCACCTCTGATCTATACTTTAAAGTAGAATGTAAGGCGTATGGATAGATGTATGTGCCAAATAGAAATCAAAACCGTTTGACCAATCTTGATAAAACTTGGCATAAATTTTCCTTGGGTACTTACTTAGACCGTAGTGTATGTATTGTACCCCTAAAACAAACTTAAGACCCTCAAAAAAAAAAATTTAACCAACTCTATGAAAGTATAGTATCTTATAAATCTATGCCATGTTTACCATGTTTACATAATGTGTCTAAATGATGAGACAAGACAGAGAGGTCACGCATGTGCAGAGATGAAAATCTCTAGATTTAAATTAGCTCTCATTCAAGAAAACATAATTTTGTACTTTTACACAAGAACATATAAATTAGTGTATATTCATTTAATTATTTAAGGAAAATTAACCTTCAAATTTGAGTTTACAAAACATTTTTTACATAAAATTGTTCGCTCTAAGTGCAAATAGCTTAAGCACACACTTTTCCATAACTCGTGCACGCCATTACTTGCGCCACGTAGTGATACAAATGAAATTAACGTCAGAGGTCAGAATACCACACATTACAAAAGCATATTATTAAACTAATAAACTACTTACATAGTACATTTTACTTTCTATTGCATTTTTAAAGTATTTTACCCTACAACTACCGATTAGGTTTAATTAAGTCTTTGTTTTCAATTTACTTTTTTCTTTCATATTTACTTATGCGCATTTAGACCTCTTAACAACATAGCTACATATATTCATTTATCGTGTTGACAAACATTTTTCATTCATCATATCGCGCACCAAAAGGTCACGCATGCGCTATAAATGTGAATGGCTTTAGCATGTTGACATACATACTGATTTAGATCTAGGTCAACACAAGCTTAAAGTGTTTAGTTATTGACTAGACTACTATGGCATCCAAATTTTTTTCAGTCTAAATCTAGATCTACATAAAATTAAACTAACATTGTTATATTAACAGTTACATTCACGCGTTTGCTTTAATTATAAAATACATTTTATCGCTTTTTTTTGTCTCCAAGGCAACAGGTCAAGGGGGCATGAACTTACAGAGCTACAAAAAAATAAAAACACATGTTGACCTTTGAATAATAAATTAAATAATTAAACTCTATGTAGAGTTATTTTTTAATTTAAATCAATGTGAATTCAATATAGCCTACTCTTTTGAATATATATGTGACTACTTTTAATTAACAATACACATTTTAAAAATAGATCTAAAAGCTTTCATTTCATTGATAAATCTAGATCTAATAAACTATTTTCTTCTTATTTTTAAAAAAGTGAACCCATATTAGATGACGTCGAATCAGAAAGATGCAACAACACAATGAAAGTTATTAGCTGTATATTAGATTCTTAGAAAACAATACAATGGGGATGTGGAAGAAGACATAAGATTCCTTCAATCAGATGACATGGGTAGCAGAGAGCACGAGAAGAAAGAATTAGCAGATAAGGTAGAAAGAAATGCAATTAGAATGGGTCAAAATAAAGTAAAGC